GTAGCAAGAGAGCAGGCAACAGCAGCCAGAGCAGCAGCAATGGCTAATGGTACCAGCTCTGCTGCGTCATCGTCTGCGTCCTCGTCAGGGACTAGCGGGCCTCAGTTGGGAATACCACTGAGTTCCACGAGTTCCTCGGGCACTTCCGGTTCAACAGGGTCTAGACAGTCTTCTAGTCAAATGGCGGGCTCGCAGTTCAGCCCGTTGACTCCACGTGAGAGGGAGCTCAGAGAGATCCAGCAGGTCGAAAGGCTCCGCCAGCAGTTAGAGGAGGATCTGAAGAAAGCAACCGATAGAGAAAAAGATAAAAAGTAGAGCAGCCAGACTTGATACGTTAGAGGCTGACAAGGCTGCGTTAGAGGGATTGGACGAATCGAGTTTGTCTGACACCCTAAAAGTGTTGAGGGACAATATGTTGTCACTGCATGCGCACGTAGACAGCAGGATGGACTTCATGCAAAGCACTTTGGACCAGATCCTGGATGCATTGACAAAGCCAGGATTCCGACCACCAGCACAATCGTCGTTGTCGTTAACGGCGATGTCAGGTCCCTTTGCTGTACAAGTTGGCACAGAACCAAGTGGTACGTCTGCAACCGCCGCACAGACTGTTGCATCTTCTTCTTCAAGTCCAGTGGTGATTGCTGCATCACCACAACAACCTGTTCAGCAAGCTGGACAGCCGCAAGGCCAATGGTATCCAAAGACCCCAATGAAACCGACTCTTGCCTTCTCAGGCGAGAGAAAGGACGAGGAACTCAACACATGGTTGAGGACGGTCCCGGTTTGGGTGAAGGCCAAAAGGACCTTGTCTGAGGACGAAGTGGTAACTGCGGCGTCTTACCTTGAGGGTAAGGCAGCCAAGTGGTTAGATGGTGTAGTTGTGAAGGCCGGGTATGGGAGACGCATGGCGGATTGGGCTAAGTCATTGACTTTAGACCAATTCATGGAGATGGTAGAAGCTAGATGGCATAACCCACAGGAGGCTCAAAGGGCCACTGATGCCATTAACAAACTTGACCAACGCAAGTTTAGGTCAGTTAGGGAGCTTACGACTACCGTCGAGAGCCTGATCCTCGTCCCAGGCATCAACTACAGTGACCAGTTCCTTTTAACCACGTTTGTTAGGTGTTTACCTGAGAACATGAGGAACTTACTAGCCAGTGAGGCACGCACTGAGTACCACTCATTTGAGACATTGTCTAGAAAAGCCTTAGATTTAGAGGCCACGCTAGGCAATGCTCAACCCACCTCAGGGAATGCTCAAAGAAGAAGAAGAGTCCTCAGGAGTGGAAGAAGAAGGGGGCGAAGTTGATGAGGGTTGAGTCTGATGGGACTCAAACTGAAATCGATGAGCTCTCTGACCTGATGGACTACTCTGAGTATGCCGGCGAGGAGGTAGCTGAGGGTAACACCCTCGCCGCGGTAGTTAAGACTAAGGCGGCAGGCCAAGGGAAGGACCAACCTAGGGGTCAAGGGAAGGCCGCCTCCAATCAGACCAAACAGGCTGAGTGGACTAAGGCAGGTCTTGATCAAGACGTGTGGCGTGACCGCTGATCGCGTGGCGCTTGCATCAACTGCGGGGAATACGGACACACGCAGTGGAAGTGTCAGAACGCTAAGGTTACGCAAAAGGTTGCTCCAAAAGTAGGGACAACCTATTCCCAGGCTTCTAGCTCGGGAAACGCGTAGGGCCAGTGGAAGTAGTAGCGGCTTCTACTCAAGATGAAGTGGGAATGATACCCTCCTCACTTCATGACAAGGCCAAAGCTAATCACTCCTCAGTCACCCCGCAGACACAACTAGACCAAACTATGCTCTGTACGTTAGATGTGTCTGAGGCCTTAGAAGACTTAGAAGGCGAGTGGTCAAACAAGGACCCTCGCGAGTCTTGGGTGGCGCTAAAGAAGGGTCCTAGAGGGGAACATTTCGTAGTGGAAGTGGATGTAGGAGGCCGCAAATGTGGAGCCTTCATAGACAACGAATCCACGCGAAATTACATAAGTCGCGATTGTTTGGAAAGGCTGCA